TTCCCTATCTCTACAGCCTAGGGGAGTTTTCCTGACTTATCTAAAGGAAAGGAATCACCTCCTAATTGATTTGCTGACCTTTAGCATTACCCCCCTCCAATTCTTCCTCCTGTATACGAATCTGACTCCTTCACTTTGTGGACTAAAACTCTGGCCTGGCCTACACAACACCCATGTCCTTTGCACACCAGCCTAGTTGAGTCCTTTGGTCACTACTCATTTCACCTCTCTTGCTCCTGAAGTACCAGACCCCATGTTGTTCCCCCAACAAACCGAAATGTTCCCACCTCCGTACCTTTGCCAGTGCTTGTTCCTGCATCTTGCAAAGACCTTCCCCACGGTCTTTACCTGACTAACTCCTTCCCAGCACACATGCTTCACCTACTCCAGGAAGCACTCTGTGATCTCCTTTGCCCATCAGGGCTTGGTTATCAGTGCCCTTTTTGGTGCTTTCACATCAGCCAGTTATTACCACTGTACTCACCACAGTGGGCTAAAATGACCTTCACACACAATGTAATCACCACTCCCTCCTCAGAGCCCAGCTCAGGGCCTGGGACCCAGCAGTGGAGCAGGGAGAGTTGGTTAAAGGAGAGAATCAAGACTCACTTCCCCTCAGTAGGCTGGTTTCCTCCCATCTTCCCCTGACCCAGTCTCAGGTTGGCCTGTTTCATCTACTGCCACCTAGGGGCGAAGATAGCAACTGCACTTCTCTCACCATTCACCATTTAATTTGATTTTAATAAATTGCATGGATGGGGACACAACCCAGGGAACGGTTGATTCTGGTGGGGGTGGAGGAAGAGTGGCAGTCAGAGGAGGCTTTAAATGGTGAATGAGCTCTGATCTGGGTCACACAGCAAGAGGAAGAGATCTCTACGTGGAAGAGAATGACATTCCAGGTATTCAGGGCAACAGGCAGAGAGACAGTTGGAATTTGGGGTCTACGGGCAGGTAAAATCTGAAAGGAAGGGATAGAATGTGCAAGACCTGGAATACCGAACTCTAGCTTTTAAGCCACCTAAAGAGGTTTAAAAATTAATTTGTTTTTTTCTTTTTCTGCCCAAAGACTTTAAATCAGGAGTGACATGATCAGATCTGTGTTTAAGACAACTCACTGGAGTGAGGAAAAAGGATAGAAATGGGAGGCAGGGAGTGAGAGAACTAATAAAGCAAGCATCAGGAAGACACTATTTTCACAATTCCCCTCTTGTTGCCCCATGGCCTCAGATTCAATACATCCGAACTGAAATTCTGCTCCCTCAAAGTCAGTATTTCAACATAAACATGATTTGTTTCCACATTTTGCGTTGTTTATATACCTTGGCCTCTTTGTGAACCTTGAGTTTTACAACAGATCTCAGCACAGAAGATGCTCAACAACAACTAAACAGAATTCTTCTCGGGGTCCCCTGGACCCTTGTGATTATAAGAACAGTAAAATCTGGTGGTTAAGAGTAATAAGGACTCTGAGTCAGAGGGCCTGAGTTCAAATCCTGCCTCAGCCACTTTACTGTGTGAGACTGGTCATATCAAGGGACCCATTTAAGCCTGCTTCTTTGTCCCTAAAAAGAAAATTGTAATGGCACCTACCTCGATGGCTGGAGATAAATGTCTGTGAAGTGTCAAACATAAAACAAATCCTCAGTAAATACTGGTGATGATTTATAACATCATCTATTCAATGCCTGCTACTCACAGGCCATGCACAATGCTAGGGACTTCCCACACTCTTAAATCTGCACAGGAAGATTCTTGTCAATCCTATTTTACAGGTAAGAAAATTAAGGCCCCCACAGTTGAGTTTCTTCAAGGTCTTGGGAGCCCTGGATCCATAGCAGGTGTCAGAGGTGGGGCTGGAGGAACTTTTAGAGGAAGCTCATTTAGTCCAGGGTGGTTCTCACATGTGTGTATGTCTACGTGTGAGAGAGAGTGTGTGTGTGTGTGTGTGTGTGTGTGAGAGAGAGAGAGAGAGAGAGAGAGAGAGAGAGAGAGAGAGAGAGAGAGAATGAGAGAGAGAAAAACACACTTTTGGCAATGTGAAGACGTTGATCTTCACAGCTGAGGGAAGGGGGACGCTGCTGGCATCGAGCGGGTCGAGGCCAGGGATGCTACTCAATATCCCACAATGCACAGGCCAGGCCCCCCAAACCAGGAATGGTCAGACCTAAAATGTTAGTAGTGCCGAGGTTGAGAAATCCTTCTCTAATCTGATCATCCTCCCCATCTTCTCACTTCTGGAGCGCTGGCCATCCGGAACCCAAATGAATACTTTCAGTAAGAGGGACTCTATCCCTCCAGCGCCAGCGCAAGCAGTTCTTCCTCACCCGCTGTGCACACAGTAGGTTTTAGAACCCATTTTAATAAGCCTAGCAACAGAGGACTCCGGAAAAGGAAGAGCATCCATCCCCCATTGTTCAGTTACCTGCAGTTTGTCTTTTCGTTCCACACACACGCACACGCACGCACACACACACACACACACACACACACATTTTAGAAATCTAAACGTCCCCCGCCCCAAAAACAGCTTTGTTAGAGATGGCGTTTAAAAAAAAATTTTTTTCTAGGACTCTCATACGTGTGAAAGGTTTGCACACTTCTCAAAGGACCTCGGATCGGCCGCGGTCCTGACAACGACCACAAAAGAATCCGTAGGCTTTCCCAGGGGAGCGAGCCCGTGGGCCGTGACCTCTGCGCGCTGAAAGCGCTCACCCCACTCCCTCGCCTCTGGCTTCGCTCTCCCGCCCCCGGATCCCCGACTTCCAAGACTACCCGGGTCCCGGCCGTGGAGCCCGGCCGGCAGGCGCGTGCCCACGCCGTGTCCTCCTCGCCTGCCCCTCGCGGCGGCAGAGG